CGGGAGGCGTGGGCAGGCCGGCGGGGACGGGGCCGCCCCCGGGGCCCGCGGGCGCGGGGCCACGGCGGCGCCTCCCCCGCAGCCCGGATCGCCGGAGAGCCCCCCTGGCGGAGCGGCGCGCCCGCCCGCCCGCCCGGGATCCGAGCACTTAGCGGAGGGCGCCGAACTTCAGTGGCGGGGTGCTCGCCTGCGCGGGGAGGGCGAGCGCGGAGGATGGCGGCGGGCGGCGCGCGGAGCCTGGCCGTGCCTGATCACCAGGGGGACCCGTCTCCGTCATCTTTGCGGCGCGGAAGGTGCGCTTCGGATCGTCTGCCGGGGCCGTGCTGCGAAGGAGCTGTCTCCTCCTCATTCCGCTGGGTGTGTTTTTGGGAGAGCGTGGCGATGAAAACCCCCGATCTGCCGGAATACTGACGCCAGTAAACTTCGTGCACACGGTGTCCCCTGCCCTCTCTCTCTCTCTCTCTCTCTCTCTGCGTGTGTCTCTGCGGGTGTCTCTGTGTGTGTGCTTGTGAAGGCACTGGCGGTGAGGAGTCCGGAGGAAACATGTGTTTTACATTTCTGCCTGCTTGTTTTGGTGCAATCAGCTCCTCCGCGAGAAACATTGATTCGGGCGGCGATTGCAATACAGTCATGCACAGGGAATGCTGTTGCCTTGGGTTGGTATGCGAAGTGAGCACAAACCAGAGAGACCTCGGCTCCGTCAAGGCGGGGGTTCCTGGTCCCCGAAAACTTCAGGATGGGCGTAGCGGGCGCCCTCGCCGACCCGCCCACGGGAACACGGGCTCTCTCCGGGGTGGAGTGAGTTTCCAGCAGAGCATCCGCCAGAGCGTCGGACCCTTGGACGGCCCTCCTGGGCTCGGTGAGGAAATAGCGGTCCGGAGACAGGAAGAGGGGGACGTTATCCCGCGGAGGAATAACTGGCGAGATCGAGCGATGATGAAGTTAAACTTCTGTTTCTTCTTCTGCCGGGGATGGTGGGCGTTTCTCCTGCTTCAGCTCCACATGTTGCAAGCCCTGGCGCAAGGTAAGGCTGCTGGGAGACGTTCTTCGCTTACAGAGATGCTCTGCCTGCCCCTCATGCATGAAAGACGTCAAACATTCTGCCACTCGGGGAGACTGATAGAGCCAGCCCTGGATTTGTATTCCACATCAGAGAGACAGCCCTGTCACTGCAGCCTCCCGCTTTAACAATGGGCTTTGTATCAAAAAGGCCACGTCTCCATAAACAGTGGCAGGATGTCTCTTGGCATCCTTTCCCCAGAGAGATCTCTTTCCCTTCCTCCCCCCCCCCCCCCACCGTTTGGTGTAATCCTATCTGAGCCTCTCCATTAATCTAACCTTTCGCGGCTTGGGGATGAATCTGCAGTTCAGTACTTGCAGGCAATGGAAGAGTTAACTTCTGGAGAGATGTGTGAGTGTGTCTGTGTGTATACACACATAGAGAGGGAGAAACAGAGAGAGAGCGCGAGCGCTAAGCTGTCAAGAGAAACGAACCCATAAATCTGCCAGCTAGGGCTAAATCAGGCATGTTAAAAAGAGGGAGAGAAAATGAATACCATTGTACGTTTCGGCTTCTGGTTTGAGCGGTATTCATTCAGGTTGCCAGCAACAAGGATTTAACACAGACAAACGGTGCGATTGATTCGTGTCTCCGCATTTCCACATCAAGGACTTCTATAGTTAAATGATGGGTCATGTAGCAGAGTAAAGGAACAACAGACTTCAGATATCCACAGCAAGGCACTTTGAATCTTATTTCCCTCTCTGTGTGTGACTGTGCGTTTTAAATGGCCAACTGTATGCCCATTCTTGCTAATGATGGAGTGAGGAAATCTATGTTAAGGCATGGGCTCTAGTATTACAGTTGGTTACGCAGAACAACCTGATGAGTACATGCTGCCTGTACTTTTGTGTGTGTGTGCGTGCGTGCGTGCATGTGTGTGGCAGTTTGTACGTGCCTCCTCAGTGAGTTGTCAGCCTATGGTCAAGCTGGGGCTTGAGTGGTCGGTTGGGCACCCTGCTGGTCTATAGCGGGGGTGAATTAGTGGGAAGCATGTAGAAGTTGCTCCTGCTGGGGAAAGTGGGCGTTCCTTCTGCCAGGCATTTCCTTATCATAAACAGAAGTTGTATTTCCTGGTAATATTTTTCTGAGTTGTCAAACTTGACTTATCCAGTAGCATTTTTAATTCTCTGAATTGAATCAAGGACAACTCTTTTCGTTTCTTCCTGCAAGTGGTGAAAGTCTCCCTCAGTCTTAAACATACTGCTGCCAAAAGAAGTTTGCACAATTTCCTTTCTCCACCTCTTTCCCATTTATCTGGAGCAGTATTTTCTAGGGAACAGCATTGTACAACTAACTGGACAGCCCGAGTGGTACGGGGAGGGGCCATATAAGTGGGCCTGCTCCAGCCCTGCCTCGTCAGCATTTATTTTTCACTCTGAAGTTTTCCATCTGGGTATAAAACAGGGCTAAGATGTTCCATACTAATTGCCTCAGCCTTCATCACTATGCTTCTGCTATCCCATTATTTACACTCTAATCCCTTCTTATCCTAAATTATTTGAGTACTGGGGCCTGCAAACATTGCAGAAATATTGATACATTGTACCAAACACTCTTGCAATCTTATCAATTAATATTCATATTTTGTGTACTACTTTTGAGGGGCTAAATATCATCATGACCTTTTTCCAGACAAATATTTGAACAGCTCTTTAAACTGGATTTCCTGAAGTCTGCAGTAAAGCCAATTTCACATGTGTATGCTCAAATCAATTAAAGTGACCTTTTAAAAATATTGTTTTCTATGAATGAATAGTGAAAGTAACCTTCAAATTGCATGGGAAGAGGCATATACTCAATTATATATACTATCAGGTAATAACATAATGAGTGGTTTGTGTACATTCAGCAAAAGAGGTCCACAGTCTCATGCACACTTACTTGGGAGTAAGCCCCACTGGAAATTACTTGAACATATCTCTGATATGAATGCGTTGATCTCATAGAAGGATTATGCATCTTACCCTTGAAGATGTTGTATAGCTTTAAGAGAAGCATTACTATTATTTCACTGTGCTGAATGTTCAGATAGTACTGCTAATGAAGTGAAAAGGCAAATGACCTTGTGAAGAAAGCCAAGGACATTGGTGTTACATGGGCAGTGTGATTCTGAACATGTTTATTCAGAAATAATTTCCATTGAACTCTACTGTCAAGTAACTATTTAGGATTGTACCTTAAGTACGAGAGATTCAAATGTGCACCACTGTGACTGATGTTCAGGTGACTCAGTGAAGTATGAATACTCACTTCAGGAAGTGAGAAAGTACTCATTGTGGTCCTCCTTATAAAGTGTTCTGTTTGCAGCCATTTGAAAAGTATGGTTAATAGAAGACTGAAATGTTGTACTGAAATGAACCTAACATTTGAGGTTTAAATTGTGACAGATTACATCCTTTGCCCTCTGGACTGCTTTTTGTTCCATTGCCTTTTATAGCTTTTAAAAATTCATGTTTCCACAAAAGTTGGTCATAATTTGATGGAGGCTTATCTTGAAAATGAAAGGTCTAGAGCTTCTGTTGATGCCTCAAATGGACCGATGATATGATCAGCAGCACAGAAGTATTATGCAACTCCTGTATCAACTCAAAGCAATTGAAATAATAAAATGTAAACTTGCTATAAACCACGAATAACAATAATAATGCACACTACTAAAATGCACATCACTTAAAATCTATTCATATGACACTGGAGGTTATTATTTGAAATGAATCAGGTGCACAACAAAGACACGGTTTGGTTGTTCAGACAAAATATTTCATACTTCAGAGCTAGTGAAAACTGCTTAGTAATTTTAAACTTTAAATGATCAATGGTCAACTATTTTTCAGACAATGTACAAAATGCAATTTGAGGTAGAACATCATGGAAAGATGACAAGAATTCAAAATTTCCATTTGGTCTGGATTAGAGACTTGTCTGTTCAGTTTGAAAGTTATTGTTGACTATATTTTCCATAATTTGCTATTTATCAATGCATTCATCATCACCACTCATGGAGATACAGGAACAGTTTTTCACTTATAATACGGTCCACCAATTTAACACCAATTGTTTTTAAGGCCAACATTTGAGAATAAGCTAATAATTATGCACAGTTTAAAATACTTTTCCCCCTCTCAACTTGCTTGGAAGCATGGATGTGCTTTTGTCTATCAACAGAAACTGGGGTCTTTTAGTGCTTGTATACACCCAGTAGAAGTTTGATTTTTTTTTTTTTACATTGAACATCAAATATCTTTGCCCTACCACAATTTGTTTTTGAAATATATCTGAATTTCAGAAGTAGTTTGCTGTGTGACATAGCAACTGCTTTGTAAAATAAATACAAAGATGTAACACCTCTTCTCCTGGGTGTTTGAAGCTAGCCCTGCCCTGCTTCAAGTTCTAATAAGCTCAAATCTAATAATGTCAAAGCTGGTAATCCATACTCTTGTAATTGTGAATGGAGTTAATTTGTAATTTGTGTCCATTTTCTTTTATTTGAAATCAGTGGGAGAAAAACTTATTGTTGGAAGTAGTAATTTTTTCCCTTTTGAAATACATCTTTGACTATACACAGAAGTTTCATTGACTTCCACATGTACTATATAAACTATGTACTATGTAAATATGTACTATACAGGCTACAGAAGTTACATTTTCAGAAGATGTCACAGCCTTATCCTACTAGTGAGAATTATTTCAGCTATCCCATAGCGCAGTATTTCGCCAACTTTTTTGAACATTCCTTTCACATACAAACTTACTACTCTGCCTTTTGGTGTCACGCCTAGTTCAACACTAATACTCTATTTCACAGGCAAATGCATGGGGATTGTTTTGCATGTGGCCTCCTGCAGTATCCAAAAACTTGTGGATTGGGATGACTCTGGCATTAAAACAGGACTAGGACATCTTGTGACCCACCTCTAAAACCACACGCGAGGAACCACCACTAGAAAAAACAGCAACAGGTTTTCTGGAGTTTACTTCTTGAAACTTCCTGAGTTTATTTTCAAGACAGTTACAAACGGAAGGTCATGTCACATCTTGCAGTAAAAGCAGGGACACAGCAGTGATCTAGCATGGGCTAAGTATTGGTCGCTACAGTGTATTTCTGATGTATATACAAACTGAAGTGTATCAAGGCATACCGTGACTAAAGATATTACAAATGCACGCATACTAAATATTGAATGTAAATTCTTGATAAGTTGAAGTTCTTACAAATGCCCGACAACCTCCTGGCAGTTCCATAGCTGATGTGGTTTAATTGACTTCTATCACTTAAAGCTATATACAAAGCACAGAAGAAGAAAAATGTAGAATTTATCTCTGATAACAGATAATGAAATGATGGATAGAGAAGCCCAGGTACTTTTTATTGTTCCTATAAGCTCAGAATGAGTTACATGTTATTTAATCCCTCAACTACTTCTGCCTAGGCAGGTTATGATCAGCTAAGAGGAGGTGACTTGTTCAAAGCCTGCATTATCACTGGAAGTGAAATGTGACCTGATTCTCTGTAGACCTAACACACCACCATCGTCCATTCTTCAGAAAGCAGGACTTAAGCATCTACTTGTGTTTTGGCTATTTATGATGGACATAACACCCTTCTTATTAAGGAGCTGTAATACTGATGGTTACGCAGCACCATGTTTTAATGTTTATTTTTCTCCATCTACTTGCTGAGAATGGTTCTGAGCCCTTGACTGCCTTGGAATGCAGGCTTATGCAAGGTCACAGGAGTTTCACGAGCTCCATTATCCCAATAGCTCCTTGGAAAGAAAGCAGGACATGCTGTCATGCTAGTCAACAGCTTTGGCTAGAGTGTCTGTGTCTCAATGTCCATTCATTTTGTTGCTGCTGCTCCTGGCTTTGCTGTGCTGTGACACTCCCTAAACTCACATGTGTTTTATGTCCTATGTCATCTGTTTGCCCTTTACTTTCTCCTTATCTGGTTAGTCTACATC